GCAGGCCAGAGTCCAGGGCTCCGCAACCCCTGATCTCCGACGATCTGCGCCTTCGATCTCGGCGTTCTTCGTCGACTGCGGCCCTCCTCTCCTCCTCCTCCTCCTCCTCCTCCTCCTCCTCCTCCTCCTCCTCCTCCTCCTCCTCCTCCCCCTCCCCCTCCCCCTCCCCCTCCCCCTCCCCCTGTGGATCCGAGGCGACAAACTACGCCCAGGGGGAGGGGTCGGGACCTCCAGGGGGCCGCTCGGGGGGGACGTTCGGGCCCGTCCCCGCTTGCGGGGCCTTGGCCCCGCTGGCCGACGCATCCCCCTGCAGGTGGGGGTCTACGGCCGGACCTAGGACAGAAGAGCATCCTCCAGAAGAGGAGACCCTCCAACAAGCACGGAGAACATCAGGGCACCTTGCCCGAACCGGCATCAATCTTACACCTCGGTCCGACCGTGTGCTGCTCCCTCCGCTGGAGGAAGACGAAACGGCAGCCGCCGCAGCTTCTGGGGAGGCTGCCCGGCGGCAGGAAGCCAGAGTCGAAGGGGCTCGGGTGCTCTAGGCGGAAGATACCAAAAACGTAGGCGTGAACTTGCCACGGTCCGCGCAGATTTCTTGGATCTCGCCAGATGCGCCGCCAAGCCCAGCACAGATCCAAGAACTCTGCGCGGGCCGTGGAATGCTTCTGTTCATGCCTTTTTCCTTCTTCGCTTCGTGTCTTGAGGGACCTACTCCCAACTCATCCAACTCCCCCTACTTGTCCTCCTCCTCCTCCTCCCTCCTCCTCCTCCTGCTCCTCCTCTTCCTCCTCCTCCTCCTGCTCCTCCTCTTCCTCCTCCTCCTCCTCCTCCACCTCCTCCTCCTCCTCCTCCTGCGGCTGTGATGCCATGGCCCGAGGGCGATGATCGATGGGGATCGGTCCGGCGAGGTTGGCGACCAGTGCCCAGGGCGCGGCTCCAGCAGCGGGTCCAGCGCCAGCTCCGCGACGCAGTCCTTGGCGCGGCGCGCACAGAATCCATTCAGGGGCGACGATATGGGCGCACGCCTACCATGGTATACGGGCTGGAGACTTGTGCGTTGGACCAGAAGCAGTTGGTTTGACGGCGTACAGTTTTGACGGCGCTCTTTCCTTTCCCCCGAGCTCTGCACAGGGCCGACTTGCTCGATCGGGCGCAACGCAGCGATATGGGCGATCTCGGACACCCTGAGCCCAAACCGCTTTCATCTCTTGGGGGCGCATCTTTTACTTCCGCCGCCTTCCGCCACCCCTCCGCCGGCTTCCGCCGGTGGAGGCAGCCTCGTCCTCCTCCTTCTCCTCCTCCTCCTCCTCCTCCTCCTCCTCCTCCTCCTCCTCCTCCTCCTCCTCCTCCCCCTCCTCCCTCCTCCCCCCCCCTCCTCCCTCCTCGCGTTTTTCGTTTTCGCTTTGTTTTCGCTTTCCCTCGCTTTGCCCTTCAGTCCACCCCTACCGCAAGACGGAGTCGAAACGAAAGCGGCCCACGACATCGCCAAAGCACCGTGTCGGTCCAGCCCCGGTCGGCGATCCGTGGGCGATTGTGGGCCCTCGCCTCGAGATGGCGACCGGCTGCTGGCCTGGGGCCGCTCTGGGCCCCCGCCGGGGGGCCCCCCACCTGGCCCCTGGCCCGTTCAAGCACGGCTCGTCAGGGCGTTGGCCAAAGGGGAGCCCCAAATCAGAAACGGGGCCCCCTTTCTCCCATGAGTTGTTGAGCTTCGACTTCCCCTGGGAAGCCTCAGGGAAGCCTGGGGCAAGCTCTTGAGCAATCGAGGAGCACCGAGCCCCTCCCCAACGAAGAGGGCTCCTTCTTCAGCACCCCGACTGTATGGCGTCTCGCGCCGAGACGCGGTGAGCCAGAATGGGCGGAGCGACACGCACGCTACCTCAAAGGTCCTTCAGGGGTCTCCTCCGGGGGTCCAGCGCCGACTCTGGGGGTCCAGAGGAGGTCTCCTCTGGGGGTCCAGCGCCGACTCCCCGACGCGGTCCCTTCTGCGAATGGACTCGGGACGGCCGCACATGCGCAATGACGCCATGCAGACGTCGGTCCGCGTCGGACCGCCAGAATACTGGAACCGAGGTCGGATCGAACCGGTCCAACTCGATATCGAATCGACTTGATCGGATGGAAATGGGAGCCCTGCGGCTTGCAATGCTTATCTCGGCGGCCTGTACCTCTTCAAGGCCTTCCTCGTCAAGCTGGCCTCGGCCTCCTCTGCTCGCACGCAGCTCGCATGCAAGATCTACCACACCATCCCCGCGCCGGCTGTCATGGTCCGAGCAGGCTCCTCCCCCCCCCGCGCCCTGATTTTTGTTTTGCTTTCTGAGGAGAACAGGTACCGTGCTGGGAGGAGGAAAGGTTGCGAGGATGAAGGGTATGAGCAAGAGCATCCGGATGCAATGAGGGATGCCTTCGGCCGCCTACGGGCAAGGGTATCCTCACTCGTCCCAGCCCCGTCCTCCCAACCCGAGGCTTCTCTTCCTGGCTTTCGCCCTCGTGCCTCCGTCCGCTCCCGCTGCACCCCACCGCTTGCCGACCAGCGTCTGCCTGCCTTGGACCGCTTGGCGCCCGCGGACTTCAAGGGCGTGCACAGGGAAGGGTGGGGGGGGCGAGAGGGGGCGGCCGGCTGAGAAGGCGGGGGGGCGTCCTCAGAAGACAGGGGCCTCGTTTTCTCAGGAGACCCCCAGGGAGGCTCCCGTACCTGGACAGCAAGTTCGAACCCAGCGGCGCAAGATGACCCCCCCGACCCACCGAATCAAGATCGAGGGTGCGGTACTGGAGGGAGCCTGGGTGGGCAGACATCCTCGAACCTCAAAGCCAGCATCCATGCTAAACTCAATATTGATTTCGGGTGCTGGGGGTGCTGAGGAGCATCTCCCTCAAATGTGCGAGTGCTCGAAAATGGTGTCCATGTACGGTACCCAGAAGGGTTCCTGTGGAAGGCAGGAAGACTTCTATATAAGAAGCCCCCAGGCCTTCTTGGACCACCCCGCTGTCCTTCCAGACATTCGACGATGTCGGTTTTCGGTCCGTGGCGCAGACCTCCCGGCCTCTTGCCCAGGGACAGTTCTCCGTCCAAGGTCCACTTTTGATCGCCCAAGGGCCGTCCGTTCTCCGGCCCCAGAGGCCGGAGTCGACGAAGAACGCCAGGATTGAAGATGTCATACGTCGCCGCGCCGCTTGCGCGGAGCGCGCCCAGGGAGCCAGAGCCAGCACCGCGGCAAACCCGCGGCAGCCTCTGCGCCCGAGGCGGGGCCTGCCCTGGTGCCCGCGGCGCCCTCCCCAGGACGGGGGAGGAGGAGGAGGAGGAGGAGGAGGAGGAGGAGGAGGAGGAGGAGGAGGAGGAGGAGGAGGAGAGCGCCTGGGAACTGACGTCCTGGTGCCCCAGCGGGCGGCGGATATGGGTACATTTCGGCCCCCGGGGGCCCGAATGTGTCCATGTCCACCGCCCGCCGAGGCTCCGAAAACTGACCCTCCGGGCGGCGGATATGGACAAGTTCCCGCCTCGGAGGGAGGGCCGCGCGCCGCGGAGCACACGGCGCGGCGGCACCTCGTCGGAGGCGTGGCCCTCGGTTGCCTGCTCGCGCGGCCGGGCCCGGCGGCAGAGGCACGCCCCTCGAGAACACGAGGCCCTCCGCTGGCCCAAAGGTGCGCGAAACAGCCAAGGGCACCCTCCCCCGGGATGCACATGAGCACCCAACAATAGAAGATGCAGAAGAAGAAAAACAAGACAGTACGCCATCAGCATAAACGTTCTGGAGCCTGGGGCCCTCCGAGGTGATCTCCCCCCCCGGCTTCGGATCCGCTGCACGTCCTGGGCGACCTCGCCCGCGGGGCGCACAAATGTCCGCCCTGCTTTCCACACGCTCCCGTGATATCGACTTCGACCCATCTCTGCCGTCGCTGCTTCCGCCATGCCTTTGCGGACCCAGACCCTTTCCCCATGACCGGCTTTGCATCCTGAGTCGTTTTTTGACGCTCCCGAGGCCCGGTGAGGGCCCCCGGAGGCCGAAAATTGGGAAAAACATCCCGTCATGATTTTTTCATTACTCGAGGGGGTCTGGGGATGTAGCCCACCCACTCTTCGGCGGCGGGAGGCTCCGCCCCGCCCTGTCCGGCTCGATTTTGGGGTCCACTTCCGAGACAACTCGACGGCGGAAAATCAGCATCAAGAAGGCCGCGGCTTCGAGAAGCCAGTCAGGGCAGCAGTCCACTCGGAGGACCGCGCCACATCGCCGATGCATCGGCGATGCACCGGCGATGAGGCGTCGACGTGGGCGATGCATCGGCGACGTCGACGTGAAGGAAATCGGGCTCCAGATCGAGCTGCATCGGCGACGCATCGGCGGTGCGGCGCGAGCCTCCGACCCCATCTGCTCCGACCCCATCCGGGAGGCCCAGAGGCTCGCAGGCAGCACACCTCCAGACCCCGACCGGGGGTGCCCTCACGGGCCAGACATCCCCGAGGTTAACCCCGCCGCCGTGGCCGCGAGAGGCCCCCCCCCCCCAGAAGCCACACGCGGGGGCCGCAGGCGCCCAAGAGCAGCCCGCCTCGCAGGGCAGTGCGATGACCTCCCGCCTGCGGCCTCTTCCGCCGTCGCCCGAGCCGGCGCCCTCTGCGAGCATCTGCCCCGAGGTCTGCCCTGACGTCTGCCCTCTGCGCGCGCCAGGCGAGCGGGAGGAGAGGCGGGCGAGCGGGCGGCGGCTCGCCGCCGACTTCAGCAGAGGCCTCCCAGATAGGGCTCGAGTCGCCGATATTAGGCCTCCTCCTCCTCCTCCTGCTTCTTCCTCCTCCGCCTCTGCAACAATTCGGCAACAGTCACGAGGCCCGAAGCCGTGCGACCAGAGGTCTGGACCGCTTCCCTGGGGCCAATCTTTCGCCCCGGGTCGTCTTGTGACGGCCCCGAGGGCCCGGCGAGGGCCCCCAGAGGCCAAGAACGGCCAACCACCGCCCGCTCCGATTTCGGTTTGGAGCGTCGGATCTCCGGGAGGTCGGGGCAGAAGTCCTCCGCGACCCCGGGCCCGCACAGCGCGGGCCCCACGGCCACACGCAGCAGCGCGTCGGCCCGCGGCGCCACCACCGCGCACAGCCCGCGTTCCAAGGCGCACAGCACCGCCCGCCCGCCTGCCGCGGCGGTGTGCCGGCCAGACACCTCGCAAGATCGGCTACAATCCCAAAAATAATTTCGAGCACCCGGAGAAGTGTCGAAAGAGTGTCGAAACAGTGTCGAGCGAGTGTCTCCCAGGGCCCGACACGTGAAAATACTCGAATTTCGGTACTTCCCTGGTGCTCGAAATTCTTTCTGGTGATCAAGGCTACAGTAGGTTGGAACATCATAAGGCTACATGCAGGAGTGACCCTGGGGTGGCTTGTCGTCGTCGTTGTCGTCGTCGCCGTCGCCACCGCCACCGCCGTCGTCGTCGTCGTCGCCGCCGCCGTCGCCGCCGTCGTCGTCGTCGTCGTCGTCGTCGTCGTCGTCGTCGTCGTCGTCGTCGTCGTCGTCGTCGTCGTCGTCGTCGTCGTCGTCGCGGCCCTGTGGGCGTGGCGTGGTTGGTGCGCGGCTTCAGGGCGGGCGCGAGGGAGCCCCAAAGCAAACGCGCGAGCCGCTGCTTATCGCACCTCGTTCGGCAATCGGGGAGAACCCGTGAGCCCGCACCAAAGGTCACTCCAGCGAAGGGTCACTCTTATGTGTAGTCGACAATAGAAGGCACAAACTCCACCCCAATAATAACCACCCCGGCAAGCGAGGCCGCTTAGTAAACTCACCCCAGGAAGGAATCGAACAGGGCACGGCTTTTAGTAAACGCCCAGGGCCGTTCAGTAAACGCCAATTGTCCGGTTCGGGTGTTTTTTCCTCCCTTGCATGAGACAAGAGGCAGCGCCCAAGGGCAGGGAAGATGATCCTGACCCCTGCGGTGGTGATGATTTTCAGGCTTCCTACAGGCCGAAAAATAAAAGTACGACCACCAGCAGCAGAATCCAGGATTGGTATTGGCCCCGCCAGCACCAAAATCGGCACCACAATCAGCCCCGAGAAGTTACCATCATCGACACCATAGGCCAGAGCCACCATAGGGCTCGGCAGCGGGCCAGGTGCATCAGCCACCATGGGACGACGCCACCCGACCGCACCTGAGGCCACCATAGGGCGTCCAACGGCGACAGGGTGTGGGTGTGGGGTGTGGGGGGGGGGACGGGCGAGAGAGACTTGATGCAACTCGTTGCCTTCAGTGGAAATACTCACCACCCCTGGCGCAGTACGTGCGACGCCAATGGCGGGGGGGGGGGGGGGGCGGCCCGTCCACCCACCTCCCCACCAAGGGGGGGGGGGCGAAGTCCCTGTGGACGGGACGGGGTGGGCACTGAGGGGCACCATAGGCCCTTCTAGAACCAAAGGTGGGCACCATACGCCCGCCACCACCAACGGAGGTACACCATATGTCCTCCACCATTCGATCATTCCATTCAACATTCAGTGACCCTTTCAATTTGATGCTTCAACCCCTCCCCAGAAATCACCACCAGCATCTTCCCCAGGCAGAGGCAGCCCCCTGTGTTGGTACTGGTGCCAATCTCCAGGCCACCAACTAATGAGGCTGAAGTTCCTCCTCTTCCACCTGCTCCTGGCCAGAGGAAGTTGAGCTCCCCTCCCCTGACTTCGGATCCGCTGAATTTTAGGCGACTTCGTAAGCAGGGCGCAAATTTCCGCCCTACTGTTCAAGCTCCAGGAATGTCCATCTTCGCTCTACTTTGCCGTCGCTATTTCAGCCCTACCTTTGCGAACATGTCCGCCCTACTTTTTCTGAGGCGGAGATTTCCGCCCTGCTTGTTCACATCGTTTGGGAAGCATGTCCGGTACATGTCTAAATCGGAGGAGCGACCAAAGCGCGGCGGATCTGAAGTCAGGCAGGGCGTGTCGAGACCTTACGGGGGGTCTGAGGGTCCAGATTGTTTTCTGACGTTCTCGTAGGTTCTCGACGCTTTCCAAGCCTCGGGACGATCTCCGGCAGCTGCGTCTCGCCGAGGCCGTTCTGGGAGCACCTGGTGCCCGGATCACCCGGAACGGCCGCCGCAGGCCCGAGTGATGACCCGACAGCCACCGGGCGTCGAAGGGGGGGAGGGGGGGAGGACTCGGGGTGGCATCGATCTTCGCGGCCTGGCCCCCATCGCCGTCATTTGCCGCGTCCCGGATGTCGTGGCCTGGCCCCCTGGCCATCGGTATCTCCAAGATGTCATGACCCCCTCGTCTTCCCTGGAGGAGGAGGAGGAGGAGGAGGAGGAGGAGGAGGAGGAGGAGGAGGAGGGCGGAGGAGGGGAGGTGGGGGGATGGGGGGGAGGAGGAAGAGGAGGAGGAGGAGGAGGAGGAAAGGAGGAGGAGGAGGAGGAGGAGGAGGAGGGAGGAGGAGGACGCGCACTTGCTTCGGGCCACAAAGCGCTGACTCCCCTATTCCTGGCCCCCCCCCCTTCTTCGGCGGGGACCTGTCCACTTCCACCGCCTGCGGCATCGATATTCGAGGACCTCGGCAGGCGGTAGATGTGGACGTGCTCCGGCCATGGGGAGGCCAACATATAAGTGTGTGTATATATATAGGTGTATATATAGATGTGTGTATATGATACTGGAGGAAAGCCCCAATCAGGGCTATAGGGCTAGGGGGCTATAGGGCTAGGGGGCTATTGAGCTATAGGGCTATAGAGCTGTAGGGCTATAGAGTTGTAGGGCTATAGGGCTATTGGGCTATAGGGCTTAGGGCTATAGGGCTATAGGGCACCCCCGGGCACCCCCGGGCACGCCCGGGCACCCGGGCACCCGGGCACCCCCGGGCCCCCGGGCCCCCGGGCCCCGGGCACCCCCGGGCACCTGGGCACCCGGGCGTGCAGCGAAAATCGGCGACGAATCCGCTAGGACCCCTACAGAGGCAAGCTCTGATTGGGGATATATACATAAACATAACTACGTAGCACCCCGCAGACGCGGATAAGAGTGAGGGGGCGGTGGGGACGTCGGCAGTCTGCGAGGCTCTGGAGAAGCCCGCCGCAGGCGCCAAAATTTTACAAATTATGCAACGAGCCCGCAGCGTGCGCCGATTTTTTCGTTAAACCAATGTGGGAGGTCGCGGGTGGGTCGCAAATGGGTCGCGGCTGGGTCGCGGCTGGGTCGCGGGGTGGGTCGCGGGGTGGGTCGCGGGGTGGGTCGCGGCTGGGTCGCGGGGTGGGTGGCGGGGTGGGTCGCGGGGTGGGTCGCGGGTGGGTCGCGGGGTGGGTCGCGGGTAAATCGCGGGGTGGATAGCGGGTGGGTCGCGGGGTGGGTCGCGGGTAGATCGCGGGGTGGGTCGCGGGTGGGTCGCGAAGGGGACCACAACCAACAACAACAACAACAACAACAACAACAACAACAATCATTTTACCCGAACGCTCAGTGTTCTCCCCAGTGCCAGGGTTTTCATGCGACGCCAGCCAATACCCCCACTTCGTGGGGGGGCAATGCAAGCTCTACCAAACATCCACACGACTCTCGGGAACCACCCACACCCAGCTTCCCGCCCTATGACGTCAGGACACTTCACTTCGTGGCGCGCGGACGATCGTGGATACTACACTGGCGTGGAGTACACACCCGCAGAGGTTGATCACTTGTTTGGGCCCCGCATGTGCCCCGCATCGTGCATTCGTTGCGCATGACATAGAGAGAGCAAGACAGAGAGAGAGAGAGCAAGACAGAGAGACAGAGAGAGAGAGAGAGAGAGCAAGACAGAGAGCCAGAGGAGAGAGAGATAGAAAGAGATTCGTCACATGTGTGAGGCAACCTGAGAAGATGTGGTACACGGTACACGTGAGATGGTACGCACTGCCAAGATAGTTGGTCACATTTTTGGGGCAATTTCCTGGGAAGGCGATGAAGCAGAAAGCGAGATAGATGTGTTCATATGATAGATATGAAGCAGAGAAAGAGCGAGAGACATAGAGAAGGAGAGAGAGGAGTCGGTCACATCTTTAGGGCAACTTCCTGAGGGATGTGGGAGGACACAAGAGAGAAGGTATCGTTGTCCCGATGGTTGTCTCGATGGTTGCCCCGATGGTTGTCCTGATGGTTATGGTTGTCCCGATCGTTTTCCCGATGCTGGTCCAAATGGTTGTCCCGATGGTTGTCCCGATGGTTGTCCCGATGGCTGTCCGTCTGCGATGCAATGTTGTCTGTTTCTGCTGTTATACAGTCCCAAGGATGACGCATGCAATGCTCATACTTTCTCCTGCTTTCGCAAACAGGTCCAGTCACACTATGAATATACACGAAGCATACTAAGGCGACTCGTCCTCTGCGACGTCGCGAATACGCTTGGGTACACGGCTGCCTGGCTGATGCAGGTGCGGGCCTGGCTGATACCCGTGCGCTCCCAAATGGCCAATGATATTGCCGATACGCCTGCTGGCGGGAGAGCCGGGGCTCGCATACGGCAGTGCGAACGCGGCCACGACATGCGCCGGCAAGAGCGGGTAATCGAGCATGTTCGGATACTCGTCGCTCTGACCAAAAGACCGCCATACGGGCAACCACCACCACTGGTCTTGACGCGGATACTTTATCTCTGGGCCGACCTCAGGGGATACGTTCCAAATGGCCATTTTCTGCGGGTCCTTTGGCCACTTTGACAAGCGTCTCTTTGGAAGAATACTGCAGTAACCACGTCGTTGCGACCTTATTTGACACATGCAGTGGTGGATCCAACTGTCGGAGCGCCCCGCATAATTTAAAAGCTGTATTATACTCGATGCCCAGGTGGCGGATGGCAGAGCCGTGATGCTCCTCCAGCTCCGTGGCGCTAGAAATACTGACCGTGCCAGGCACAACCCGATACTTGCACCACCAAAGCTTGCACGCCTGGTGACTGACCTGGATACCCTTTGCAACGAGCGCCTGATGCAAATAATACGGGCTGCCGCAGTCAGCCAAGGGAGGCCGCGACAGCTCTGGGCCATACTGGTCGTCAAGAGCTTTCGCCGACAAAGCCATGACCCAGCCAAGAACACAGGCGATACCTTGATCCGAGATGGCTACGGATGTGACAGTGATCAGTCGGAGGCTTCCTGGGGCCGCTTGGGGTCCTCTTGGGGTAGGGGGGAAGCCTCCTGAAGCCGCTTGGGGTCCTCTTG